CTGCATATATTTGAACTATTTGTGTGTATGCTCCATGGATGATGGAACATGGCCTCAAATATGCCCACCAATCACCAAAACCTAGCAATTTACTGCTATATATACTGTATGCTTTACCTACATGTAACAATTCAATGCTAATGCATTTGTATTTGCATCAGCCACTAAATATTATGCCATTTTAAGCTAAATTTTTATAGTATATGAAATTATTTTTAGTTACCAATTCTGTATGATAAACTGTTACTGTGCATACTTGTGTGTAGGTGCTGGTGGTCAAACCAGTTTTTCTACGAGAGATGGTAGTAATCAGTTTAATGTCTCATCGGCTGGAGTCACACTGAAAGATTTGGAAGAGGTACAGTTGTTTTTTATGATCTCATAGCTCTCTCTTTTTAGCCATTTAGCATAAATATTAAGCTAGTTTATAGTCAACGTAATGGGATCAAAAATTGCATAGAAAATCTGACCTTTTTGACACAAAATTGGCCAAATTTTAATTTTGCATTGCGTTTTGTGTCAAGTGTAAACCAGGGTTTATAGCAGGTTGTAGTTATAAATAATTTCCTTTTGTTCTATTCCTTAAAAGCATGATATTAATTTTTTTGTTTCTGTCCTCTAGTTGAAGTTAAATGCTGTTAGCTCATTAAGCGATTCATTCTTTAAGAAACTCCTTGATGTGAATGAGGCAAGCCACTACCAAGAGTAGATACTAGAAATCCATCCTTCATTTCTCTTTCTTAGGACTATATGTCACTGAATGAAGAGCTATCAATGATTAGTTTCATTGAAGCACTTGTGAGACGAATAAGGAAACTACTCAAACTGAGAGCAGCAGCCAGACCAGTCCTTAAACTATAATTCACAAACACTCACTTCCTCACTTCTACTACTTCTTAATTTTAGTTTCATTTTCGACTACTTCTTAGTTGTAAATATTTTGTTATTAATGCTAATAACTTACATTATACTTAATCACTCAATTACGTAGGTAATGTTAGCATGTTTGTATAGCTAGATAATTGGTGCGATCAGTCCTTGGTGCAATTGTTTTAAACATTGGAAGTGAAAGCTGAAATTTCTGCTTGCCGCTAGCAAGAGTACATAATATTAGGTATACTCTTGCTGCTAGGCATAAAGACTGTACAATTATTGAATGATAAGGTTTCAATAATTATTGATTGGAAAAAAGTTACATGAAAGGAGAAGCATCAAAAAATAGTCCTAACAAAAATGGCCTAACAAAAATATTTAATTAATAAAAAGTCCTATATTGCTTCTTCATGCACTTATTACATTAGAGCAGTTCATTGCTTGTTGCATCCAAGATCAATGGGAACTTTACCAGAGATATCAATCTTAGCACATCCTCCTTGATTATTCACACCAAACCCATTGCATCCCAATCCATTGGTCCATGGTTTGTAAGGTAGGGTACCAGCACCTCTATCATACCTTGGCTTGTAACAGCTCTTTGGTGGCCACCACTGGTAGCAGTATAGGCCCATGTCATCATACTCTGGTCCACAGAAATAGCTACAGTATCCCCAGCAAACTGTAGCAACTCCCATGTAGTTTTCTTTGCATTTTGGATAGCACAGACCAGCATCATTTTCTTCATCTTCATCACATCCGTCCTTTGCACATGTGTTTGTTGCTGTGCGTAATGAAAAATCTGCACTAGCAAGAAGAGAGCACTTCTTATAGCATAATCCAAG